ACACACACACACACACACACACACACACACACACACACACACACACACACACACACACACACACACACACACACACACACACACACACACACACACACACACACACACACACACACACACACACACACACACACACACACACACACACACACACACACACACACACACACACACACACACACACACACACACACACACACACACACACACCACAAAGGTCCCATTACACCACGGCTCATTCGATTCTGCTTAAATTTATTATGTTGACAGTTTTGACAAAAAAAAATGTATCAAAATTATTCACTAATATTAATCCATTCGGGTAGAACTTGAATTTTTTTATTACTCGCACATTTAAAATTTAATAATTTAGAGTGTAGGTTTTAGAGAAAAATGTATTTACTAAAACATGAATACAAATAAGAAATATGTCTAGCGACCAAACTGAGCAATTTTGTACTGAGTTAAATTTACTTAAATCGGCTTATTTTGGTCCACGGAATCTGTAGTATGTTTTTGTAAAGACAATAGACACCTTGTATATTCCTTCCAGTAAATAGTATGAAAAATCGAAAAGACATGGTAATCTTATTTTCAAAGGGGACACTTTAATGAATATTTTTAATCTTCATGGTTTAAACCCCTAGAATTTATAAAATTCAACATGACTATTAATTGGGTTAATTTTTATTTAAGCGCCCTCTAGCGGAATAAAAAAAACTTACGTACTGTAAAGTATGGAACTTTATTTGAAATCTATTTTGATTGGGAATTTAATTCATAATATAACAAAATATAATTTTTTAATATTACCTACATGAACTCTAATAATTAAAAAATCGTGCAGATTTCTAACGTTCGGACATATTATAATCTTAATGAACTAAAATAATAAATTTACGCTATACATAAATCGATAATAAAAATATCGTTCAAATGAAGTATCACACTTTACAAAACGTCCATTTAGAGGGCGCTAAAAAAATCAACGCAATTAATAGACATATTGTTGAATTCTCCATAAAATTACCATTTAAATGAAGGACAGACACATAGTCTGACCAAATAAAAATATCGTCGGCTTCGGTATGGTTATAACCTCCCACGTTAGCATGCCATAGTATCGATTGACAATAGACGTTACTTTTAAGTGTCGCCTTATATAATTTATTATTAATTGAAGATCACATTTTGTTAATTTTGTTTAAAATAAATTTCTGCTGTATCTACTTTAATAAAAAAATAAATTAGTAAGGATAAATACAACCTTTATTTTAGCTAAAAAAGTGTGACCTCTTCTTAGATAAACCCTAGCGGTTCTGTTAATTTCACATCCTTATCTACGTAGACGTGGACTTTGTAATATATCCTTCCACATAACTTAATATCTTTTAGACTTTAGGGTCTATGATGGTTTAAGCCTTGAATTATCAAACTGATCAAATAAAGCAGAATTAAACAAAGCAATCCTTTAGTTATTTATATTGTTCTGCTGAAAGTTTGTGGAAGTCACTGGAAGTAATCTTGAAGTCATCTGGAAGTCAACTGAAGTCATCTGCAGGGTTATTCTACTAAATTTATAGCCCGGCTACAAGTTTATAGCCCGGCTACAAGTTGGATTTTGAAGTAGGAATATATAAAGTTCAAGCCAAAATCCAACTTGTAGCCGGGCTATAAATTTAGTAGAATAACCCTGCTGGAACTCAGGTTATTCAGAGGAAGTCATCTGGAAGTTCAAGAAAGTCCATAGAAGTCCACGGAAAGTAAGTAGAAGGCATGGAAGTTTGGAAGTCCGGTGTACAAAATTTTGGTAGCGGTTTACCCCTCGTTTGTCATTCCCCTTGTGTTCGTCTTGAGATTGTAAAAATCTTAGAACATATATGTAAAAATAGCGAACTCTGCTTATGAAGTCACGCACTCCGTGGGAGCTCTGTGCGATCCGCCGAGTTCCAAACCGAACTTACCCGCGGCTTGATTCTTCCAGTTTTATACAGGGTATTTATTAATTGAGTGCCGATACTTAAGGGTGTGAATCCTTAGGTGATTTTAAGAAGAAAAGTTAATATCAACATATGTCGTAACTCACTTAATTTTTGAGCTACAGGGTGTTACAGTTTTAAGAAAAAAATTACTTTTTTATCATAATTTTTTTATCACTCCAGATATTTCTATGAAATTTTGTACAATCATTTTAATAATTAAGGAGCATTTTTGACGTATAAGATTTTTTTAAATTTTTACCAGTGACGTCCGTACGGGGTTTGAACTGAATATTTTTGATGAAAAAAATGGTACGCCACTGCTTTTTCTGAAAACCAAAATTATTTTTGAAATCATCATTTATTTTGGAGCAAACTTGGCTCATAGACTTACTTTCGTACGATGCACCGTTTTCGCGTAAAAAAATAAAAACCATTGTAGTGGTTGGTCAAATTTTTTCCTTAAATTTATTGATAACTACTGCTTTTGATATTTTGTTGAAATCTGGTAGGCACCCACCATGCGTGGAAACATTTTTTTGGGACAAAAATTAATTTTCTACGTTTTGAATAGAAAAAAATGGTAAGCGCATTATTGCCCTCTTAAAGCAAATGAAATAAACATTAGTAGGCTGGGTAAAGCGTCATCATTTTTGACGTTTCTTTTCATAAAGGCAATAAAGTTGACATTGATTTTACATTATTAAATAATTATTATTAGAAGAGTTAAAATCTGAAAAAAAATGGTAAATTTTACGAACAGTGAATTAGCTGACATGCATTTTAGTTATGGGCTTGCAGACGGAAATGCATACGAAGCCAGACGGATACACCAAGAGCGGTATCCAAATCGCGTACTACCCGATCCGAGAACATTTTCTAGGATTCATAGACGTCTTCACGAGACCGGAACTTTAAAAGTAGACCACAGGGCTAAAGGAGTCCATCAAACAGTAAGAACACCGGAACTTGAAGAAGGAATTTTACATGAAATTGAGGAGAACCCCGAAACTAGCACGAGGAGAATCGCGTCAACATTTAATGTTTCGCATGTACTTGTTTGGAAAATTCTCATCGAAAATTTGTTATACCCATATCACATTCAAAGAGTCCAGGCATTACTCCCTAGAGATTTCCCGTTGCGCATTAATTTCTGTGAGTGGTTTCTTCAAAACCTGCTGGAAAATCCATTATTTGACAGGCACATTCTTTTTACCGATGAAGCTAATTTTTCTCGAAACTCAATAATAAATTTCCATAATAACCATTTATGGGCGGATGAAAACCCTTATGCAATTGTTGAGTCAAATCATCAAGAACAGTTCTCATTAAATGTTTGGGCTGGCATTACTGATGATTATTTGATAGACCCATTTTTTCTCCCAAGAAGACTTGATGGAGAATCATATTTACACTTCCTTGAAGATGATCTGCCGCCAATGCTTGAAGACCATCCTCTTTTATTAAGAAACCAGATGTGGTTAATGCACGATGGTGCGCCTCCACATTTTAGCTTACGAGTGCGTGAATTTTTAAATCACACCTATCGCAATCGGTGGATAGGTCGCGGAGGAACGCAGTCATGGCCGCCTAGATCTCCCGACCTTAATAGTTTAGACTTCTTTTTCTGGGGGCATCTGAAAAGCTTAGTGTACGCAGTGCCGATTCAAACCGAAGAAGAGTTACGAAATCGTATAACAGTCTGCTGCCAAACCATAAGAAACACCCCAGGAATCTTTGAAAATGTGCGTCAGTCTATGCGAAGAAGAGTAGATGCTTGCATGCGTGTGGGTGGAGGACACTTCCAACAATTACTGTAAATAATTTGGGTTCTTTATTTTGTTTGTATTCTCTTGTAATTTCGTTTTAGATTCAAGATTTTGAATTTTCATTTTATTATAAATAAATCCCGATTTTTAAAATACATAAGAATTTAAAAAAATCAGAGGTGTACGTTTTTTTTTTCTATCCAAACATTCAATATGATGCCTACGTGGCCGTCACTGGTGGAAGTAGAAAATTGTTGCCCCAAAATAAGTGTTTTCAAGCATGGTGGGTGCCTACCAAATTTCAACAAAAAATCAAAAGCAGCTTAAGAAAAAAAAATTTGTTTTTATTTTTTTACGCTAACACAGTGCATCGTACGAAAGCATGTCTATTGGCCAAATTTGCTCAAAAATAAATGAATATTTCAAAAATAATTTTGGATTTTAGGAAAAGCAGTGGCGTACCATTTTTTTTCTTCAAAAATATTCAGTTCAAACCCCGTACGGAATTCACTGGTAAAAATTTAAAAAAATCTTATACGTCAAAAAATGCTCCTTAATGATAAAAAGGTGTTTACAAAATTTCATAGAAATATCTGCAGTGATAAGAAAATTATGAAAAAAAATATATTTTTTTCTTAAAACTGTAACACCCTGTAGCTCAAAAATTAAGAGATTTACGACATATGTTGATATTAACTTTTCTTCTTAAAATCACCCAAGGATTCACACCCTTAAGTATCGGCACTCAATTAATAAACACCCTGTATATAGTTTAGTGATCTCAAAAGCCACCGGCTTAGTTAGGCAACACATTATACGTAAAATCTCATATTTTGCAAAATCATCTGAATTTGCTTGACGTGTTTTCTCTCTCTTTAGCTATTTGTAACATTCCAATGTTATTTTTTATGTTGCTTTTAAAATTGAAATTTCAGGGGCTTTTCACCGGGAAGAATGATGTAAAATGACAATTGTATTTCTATTTTATATGCAAATAAATATATTAAAAAGAAATATGATAAGGAAAGAAAGAGGTACAGTCAGCTCAAAGTTAATATTCCTAATACTAATATAATATTTTATTCCTAATACTAATATAATATTTTAGTACCAGCAATTATTCCTTGCAAGAGAGAGAGCAATCTCGGTCCCACTTACAGGAGATGCAGAGAGACCGATCTCGTCGAAATTGTGAAACTCGGAATCATATTTTTGAGCTTTACTTTAGCAATTAGAAAATAAAACCATGATATTATAAAAATATTAACGTCTTTAATTATTAAAATTATAAATGCGGCTTAAATAAGTAGGTATATAAAAATAAAATGTTTTATATAAATAGATGATTATGTATTTAACGGTTCTTCAGTGAAGAATGTATGATTTAAAGCTTCCAATGCAGTAATTCGTTTCTTGGGATTGAAAGTTAACATGCTCTAAAAAATAATAGTTCATTAAATAACTACATATATAGTATAATTCAGTTTATAATTAAGTCGCATAGATTAAAATGTATTAAACATTTAAACTTTTTTATAGGCGCATACGTTCAAGACAAAACAAATATTTGTTTTCACTCTTTAGAGCCAGCCACCTTACAGTTTGCAATTTTTATTGCATGTTTGTACATTAACGTCTTTTCAATGAGCTACAGACTGACGACCTACAATTTATTGCCGCAAGATATTAACAATTCAGACTAATCACAAACCATTAGAATCTATTTGCAAAAAAAATTCTTTGTTCTGCTCCTCCTAGATTACAACGAATAATTTTTGTTATTCTTCAGTATTTTCCGCAAGTGGTATATGCGAAAGGTCAAAAAAATACCTATTGCTGATCTATTAAACAGGGGTTGCAAAAATATTCCGATTACAGAGGAAGATGATTTACAAATACAAATCGTATTTTCTGCCTCTGAGCAAGCCCAGTCAACCATAATCAAGAATATATCTTCAGATTCAGAGTTGCTGGTCTTAAGAACATGGTTATGAATTGGATGGCCTGAGAAAAGAACTAAACTGAAATAAGAACTGAGACCCTATTGGATGTATAAAGATCAGCCATCAATAACAAATGATTAAGTTTTTAATGGTCACAAAGTAATAGTACCTAAGTCTCATATACCTAAAATTTTAAGACATCCATGCCAGTCATCATGGCATCAAGAAATACTAAAGGAGAGCTCGATCGTCAGTGTTCTGGATAGGTATGTAGCCCAATCGGATTAGGTGAAGAACAGGCTTGAGATTCTGAAAAATTCGAAGCAGCAATTTTCCTTCGGAATTCGTTGGAGGGGGTCTGTGGTAGTCTAAATTCAAAAAGTTGGGATTCTAAAGTTGTCGTTACCTCCGCCAGCTTGATTTAAAGGGTTATTTTTTGTATCTTGAATAACTCATTTATTTTCAATTTTACACGGAAAATAGTTTTTACAAAAGTTATTTAAAATTAAATTTCCTACAATTCTGCTTTTTTTTGGTACGATCGATTTTTTTCGATTTATACCCGAAAAGAGGGGGTGAATTTTTGGTTATAGAATAACTCGTTTATTTTCAATTTTACGAGAAAAATTGTTATAAACAAAGTTGTTTAAAATTAAATTTGCTACAATTCTGTTTTTTTTTGTACGCTCGATTTTTTTGTATTTATCCCTGAGAAGAGTGGGGGAAAACTTTTATCATTGTATTATCACGTTTCTCTTTAAACTTGGCCGAGCCATCGGCTAAACGTTCCAAACAGACGTCATTGACGTTTCGATAGACTTTTAAAAGTGTACTGAAAAGAAAATAAATTTCATTTTTTTAATTGTAAAAATTATACTGTTCGATAAACTGATTATTTACACCCCTCTTTTCCTTTACCGTGAACGTGCGACCCAACAATATAAACTTTAGAAAAAATCGGAATCATAATTTTACCAAATAACATTTTTGAAAATCAGCAAAAAAAAACAAACAGAAAAAATAATGGTACAACATCAATAATAAACGTGACAATACAATACTTAGGTTCACCCCCACTCTTCCCAGGGATAAATACAAAAAAATCGATCGAACAAAAAAAAACAGAATTGTAGGAAATTTAATTTTAAACAACTTTGTTTATAACAATTTTTCTCGTAAAATTGAAAATAAACGAGTTATTCTATAACCAAAAATTCACCCCCTCTTTTCGGGTATAAATCGAAAAAAATCGATCGTACAAAACAACGCAGAATTGTAGGAAATTTAATTTTAAACAACTTTGTTTATAACAATTTTTCTCGTAAAATTGAAAATAAACGAGTTATTCTATAACCAAAAATTCACCCCCTCTTTTCGAGTATAAATCGAAAAAAATCGATCGTACAAAAAAAAAGCAGGATTGTAGGAAATTTAATTTTAAATAACTTTTGTAAAAACTATTTTCCATGTAAAATTGAAAATAAATGAGTTATTCAAGATACAAAAAATAACCCTTTAAATCAAGATGGCGGAGGTAACGACAACTTTGGAATCCCAACTTTTTGAATTTAGACTACCAGAGACTCCCTCCAACGAATTCCGAAGGAAAATTGCTGCTTCGAATTTTTCAGAATCTAAAATACTAATCCGATTGGGCTAATGACAAAACCTATTAAGGAATTTATAAAAAATTGGGCAGTTTGCCAGTCGATGCAGTATTCAAATGTAAAAGAACATTACCTTGCCAAATTGTTGGAACCGATTTCTTCAAAGTAGGGATAGACGACTACATCTTATAATTTTCGGACAAGGATATCTCAAAAAGTAATTTTGTTAAAAAATTAAAATTTTGGCATAATAAATTAGGTGATATTATCTAGAATATGCATATATTTTAAAGTTTTAATTCCTTCCAGTTTCCGAGAAAAAATCAAAGAGCTTTAAATTTTGATATATGATAATGTAAATAAATATATTCCTCAACAGCTCTATTCTTAATATAATCCCCAAATTTAAGCTCCTAATGTCTTGTTAATGATATTTTAAAAATTTCCAAAATTAATGGTTAAAACCCCTCATTAAGTGCTACCTACTGGTGTAAATTCTCGTTACAAGAAACGAATGATGACAGAGTATACGATACAATAGTTACAAGCGCGTTACACCACTAATTTTGGCGAATTTAAAAAAATCATTAACAAGGCATTAAGAGCTTAAATTTCGGGATTATATTATTAAGAATAGTGCTGTTGAGGAATGCATTTATTTTCAATATATTTAAAAATTAAAAGCTTTGATTTTTTTTTGAAACTGAAATAATTAAAACTTTAAAATATGTGCATATCGAGATATGTACTACCAAATTTATTTTTCCAAAATTTTAATTTTTTAAGAAAAGATTCGAAAAAGTTTTCTGTAAATGGTATCCCGAATATTTTGGAAAGTGACAACGGTTCTCAGTATACCTCTACTAAATTTAAGATCTTTCTAAAGTCTTGGAATATGACCCACCAAACATCTTCCCAACATTCCCCTCAATAAAATAGAATCTCTGAAAAAATATATTAGCATTGGCAAAACCTTAATTAAAAAATGTTCTAAAGACAAATATGATATATGCAGCACTTTTAAATCAAAGAAATACATCATGAAGTGATGATTTGGGTTCACCAGCTCAGCAACTATTCAGTAGAGTAGTGTTTCTTAAACTTTTTTGGCGACGGAACCTTTTTGAAAAACGAAATATTTAACGGAGCCCTAAAAAAAGTCCTCAAGCCAGGTCCCTCCCTTTTGTGGCGATAGTACTGCATATTGTTTTTATTATGACTATTATTTTCTTCGCGAAGCCCCCACAAAGGCTTTGCGGCACCCTAGAGCGCCGCGGAGCACACTTTGAGTAACACTGCAGTACAGTAACCAGAAATCTCATGATAAAGTCCTTGAATCAAAAATTTAGACTAAAGTTACATTACTTTTGCCAGACAATTAAAAACAAGAAAAAATATTATGGATGGGGACAAAGTTATGGTAAGGTTCTAAAGATTGGATAGGAGGAAAAATAATAAGGGATCAAACACAACCGAGATCATACATAGTAGAAACTAATAAAGGTCAAATACTGACAAGAAACACCAAACATCTTCGAAAATCCCCTGTAGAAATAACAAATAAAATTACATCAAAATTAAGACAACACCTGACTGCACAACAAATACTCGAATGTAGCAAACTAAACCCACACGAACTGGAACTCTCAAAAAAGAGCCTCCAGCCAAGAGTGGGAAACTGCTAAATGGGTAGTTACAACAGAGAAAGTAACATGGGCAATACGCACCTTCAATCCATACAAATCATCGGGACCAGATGGGGTACTGCCTGTGCTTTTGCAACAGGCAATAGAAACGCTGGCCCCGCATGTTTGTAGTCTCTACAGGGCAAGTTAGGTGCAAACAAAGCAGAGTTGTCTTTATACCTAAACCCGGGCGTCCAACGTATGCCGTGGCAAATGCCTATAGACCAATAACTCTGACGTCATTTCTATTGAAAGGATTGGACAAACTGATTGATCAGCATGTCCGGCAAACTACTCTGATAGAGAGGCCATTTCATACAAACCAACATGCCTATTAATCAGGAAAATCTTGTGAGTCTGCTCTGCATCATCTTGTAACCAAGATAGAGGGAGGACTCAGTAGCCAAGAAATAGTCCTAGGAGCATTTCTTGACATATAAGGAGCTTTTGATAATAACTCCGTTAAATCAATGGTAGCTACCGCTCGCAAACATTTAATAGCAGACACCATCTGCTAGTGGATAGAAGACATGTTATGCGGACGGCAAGTACAGGCACAAATGTTCAGTGGAACCATGTGGTGAATATCCACAGGGGATGCCCACAGGGTGGAGTCCTTTCTCCTCTATTGTGGAACATAGTGGCAGATTAACTGCTGAAAACACTAAACAATCAAGTGCTGTACGCCCAAGGATATGCCGATGACATAGTCATCCTTATCCGAGGGAAACACCAAACCACAGTCTTTGAACTCATGCAAAGAGCTCTTAGGCTAACAGAAATGTGCTGCGTTAGGAAAAACCTCTTGGTAAACCCTGACAAGGCACAACTCATAACCTTTACTCGGAAAACAAGGTTGGAGGTTTTAGAAACTACGACTCTGTTTGGAGGAAGGCTAAACAAAAGGAACCAAGTAAAATATCTGGGTCTGATCCTAGATAGCAAACTTACTTGGAACCAACACTTACAAAAAGTGACCAACAAATGTAAAATGTCTCTCATAGTATGGAGACGGGCATTTGGAAAAACATGGGGATTAAAACCAAAAATGGTCCACTGGCTATATTTGGCAATAACAAGACCCATGATAACTTATGGAGCGGTTGTTTGGTGGTCAAAAGTAAACCAGAAAACAGCCCTCAATACCCTCTCAGGAGTACAGAGGCTGGCATGCCTTTATATTACAGGAGCACTGAGAAGTACACCGACAGCCTCTATGGAAATCATTCTAAACCTCCCATCCCTTGACCTAGTCATAAAGAGGGAGGCCAGAATGAGTGCATACAGACTGGAAATCTCCAACAACTGGAACCCACTGGGACATATCAAACATACCATAATAACACATGAAGTAAATGATTCTATATTAAATATGGGATCAGATCACATGACACCTCTCCTAACCTTTAACAGGCTCTTCCAGGTCAAGTGGAACTGGAACGAGGTAAATAAGGAGATAGATAAGTACTTGCTTAGCGGTCTCGTATGGTATATGGATGGATCTAAAACTAAAAAGGGAACAGGCTCTGGCGTATATGGAGTTAAACCCAAATGCGACATCATCGTCTCACTGGGAAAACATGCCACTATTTCAGGCTGAAATACATGCAATATAATTGTGTGTACGAGAGAATTTAAGAAGGAAGTACAAAAAACAAACCATCCTAATTCTTTCAGATAGCCAAGCAGCCTTAAAGGCTCTTGATTCAAACAGAATCAAGTCAAAGCTTGTCTGGAACTGCCTTGGAATACTAAATGATCTGGCAAGGTAAAACTAGCGTGGGTACCAGGACACAAAGGTATCCAAGGAAATGAAAAGGCTGATGAACTCGCCAAAGAGGGATCAGATCTACCATTCACAGGACCCGAACCTGTATTTGGGATAAGCAATACCTCTGCTCGACAGGCCGTGAATAGGTGGATAATCACAAAACACCAAATTCACTGGCAACAGATAAGAGGGCACAGAATCAGTAAGCTCATGCTAGGGGGACCAAACCCACGCATGGCTACTGAGGCACTACAACTCGCAAGGCCTCAGATATCCACCATTATGGGATTACTAACGGGGCACTGCGTGCTGAAACCCCTTCATGTGATGGGATTACACAATGATCCCACTACGTGTAGACTGCATGGAAGAGGAAGAAACCTCATACCATGTGATTTTCGAATGCGAAGCTCTTACTAGGCGATGTTTCATCCTTTTCGGCCTAGAACTGGAAAGGACGCCCCAGGAACACTTGGTAGGGAATCTATTAAAACTAACCAAAGACACAGGACTATTCCAAAGATAGTACCTGAATACGGGGAAAGCAGGGGAATACAATAGACCCAAGAGGCCGCAGTGTTCTGGGCCAAACCTAACCCTACCTGCTTACAACCGATAAAGATAAAAGACAACACCAACAACATTGAACATCCCGATGTCACCTTAAATGAGCCACATTGAAACAAAGGCAAAGCTGATTAGAAGTATAATAATAAATCGTCTTTATTCGCTATAACAAATAACAAAGAAAGATTTTTGTTTTTATTAAAACCGTCCTGAGCAGGCCAGCATGCTTTTTAACCTTTTTTAACAGACTTCAAAAAAGGAGGAGGTTCTCAATTTGTCGCAATATTCTTTTTTATGTATGTTCAGCGATAATTCTTTAACACGGTGTCCGATTTCAATGATTCTTTTTTTTTTGTTAGAAAGGGGGTACTTCAGGGGTGGTCCCATATAAATTTGGTCAAAATCTAATAATTGGGTCCATGGGAAAATCCTCAAACTCTTCATTTTTTATGTATGTTTAGCGATAATACCACCTTGTCCTATTTATATGATTATTTTTTGTTAGTAAGTGGGTACCTCAGGGGTGGTCCCATATAAATTTGGTCAAAATCTAATAATTGGGTCCATGGGAAAATCCTCAAACTTACTTTTACTCAGAGTTCCGTAATTATTACTGAAATGTGTGAATTTATTAAATAGATTTTTCGGTTTTTGGTATTTAAGAATTTTGTGAGTTATATTCAGAATGTGCAAAGTAATGTAATTTTTTGATATGCAGCCATTTTAATTCTTTGAATATGGTTAATTTTGTGTATTCCGTACGCGAACCTGAACCTGATACACGAATTTTGACTTTTTTGCAGATGATTTAAATCCCTTTGAAGAAGAGCTGGTCCAAATACCGTATCGCAGTATGATAACGTTCACATAATGAGTGATTCACACATTTTTAATTTAAGTTTAGGTGAAAGTATGTCCCTATTAGGATAAAGTTGTCTTAACACGTTGTATGAACTTTGACACAGTTGAGAAATGTTTTGTGAACCCAAGTTTAGAATAAATCGTTTTTATGATCATAAACAAGTAGAATGGGGTCATGACATATGCTAAGTTTAAAATTATTAGTTAGAAGATTTCTAGCTTTATTGAGCCCAAATAGCATAATGACAGATTTTTTTGAGCTTAATTTGAGATTGTGTGCTGACAATATATCTTAGTTTTTTTTTTTAATTTAGATTTATGATGTATTGAGCGTGTAAAAAATTTCGTTAGTAAAAGACAAGTAGAGATGCAAATGTTATGATGAATATGACAATTTTCCACAAAAGGAAGCTAAAGAAGATAATCAAAGAAATTTAGCTAGATACTAGTAGAGATTTAGATAGTTTAGCTAAATCGCTTTTCTCTCAATTAAAAAAAGGGAGGGGGATTCCAGAATATTATACTTGAATCAGTTACCAGTTGTGAGTATTCTGTGGTTATATTATACACAATAGTTTTTTAAATGTTTTAAGAACTGCCCGAGATCATAATTTTCCCACATTCAAGTCTCTGAGCACAAATATAAATAAAAGATTGGGTACACACTAAACACGAGGTGAGGAGTTAAAGGAATACATTCAATGTGGGAAAAACATTTTTTTCTTATTAAAAATGTTGAAATGTCATCACACCCATAACGTCCAAATATTTATTTTATTGAAGACTTCTTGTGGTGTTATCTACTACACGTAAGTTTTTAATTTTACTCTTTATCAAATGTTAATACTCGACATCTTTGAGGCTATGATGCTGGTTTTGTAAAAGCTAATTTTCCTTGATTAAATTAATTTCTTTTAGGAGATGAAATATTCTCGTATAATTGTTAGTTGTCAAATTTGACAAACAAAAAAAACCGAGTGAAGTCATTTGTCACTACAGATTTAAAAGGAACCAAAAGAGGTTAACGGCTGTGTGCACGCAGCTTAGAACAGAAAACTTGTATTTTGTGCAAAAAAAAATTATTAAAAATATGCCAAACGCACTTTGCTATTTTAATTAAAAAATTGCTCGAAATGCAAGTTTTCCTTGCTGAACTACAGATTTTCCTTATAAATATATTTAGAAATTTAGAATTGTTTGTCACAATATATCAATTTGGGATGTTCTAAAAGATGATGTTAAATTAGAAGTTAGAGTTATTCATTGAAGCCAATTTCAGAAGTAGGTGGAATTTGCAGAACTGTGTCGTAATGGAAATACATAATTGTTATATATGTATCTTATACAAGATGGGCCACCGGTAATTCTACAGTCTATAGAGCCAAAACAAAAAGGCCTATTTTTTTAATGTTTAATATAGTCCAGACCTAAACTTCTTATTTTGGCGGGTAAAGGATAAATTACGGGGTTTACGTTTTACATCGGCCGAAAGAGTCTTTAAAAATGAAACAACCATACTACGGCCAGAAGATTGGAGAACATGTTTTCAAGAATAGTTTTCCCAGATGCAAAAATGCAGTGGCTGTGGAGGAGAATACTCTGAAAAATTATAAATAAAAGATTTTTTTTTAATAAACTGTGTTTTACTTTACTAGGCTTAACGGCTTAATATTATTTAACTTTCATAGTCAAATTCGATCTAAAGAGGAGGAAACGCAGTATTGTTTAATTTTACTGTCAAAAGCTACTTATTTTGAGTTGCCGAAGATAAGGTCGAACGCAGTACCAGCAAAATAAAAGATAGTTATTCATTGAATATAATCCAATGCCTATTATGGTATTAGCCAAAGAGGTAGTCGTGTTAGGGAGAGAAACGGTCGCTCCTATTATTTTGTGACACATGGCTTTGAGATTGTCTTATTTTCCTTTACTTTATTTGGAGTTAATTTAAAATGGTGTAATAAAAAATCATTTATAGGGCTCAAAATCGTTGTACAATTAAAATTTTTAGTGCCTGGTGTTAGCTTAACATTTGAAAATTATTATAGAATATTATAAGAAATGTATTAAACAATCCTCACCATTATTAAACTATAAGCAGTTTCACAAATAAATGGACATATTTGATCAATTCTAACTTGATTAATAACATCAAATGAGTTCCATTTGATAGATACATTTTCTTCGGGCCATTCTTCCTCAAGCGGTTTACCAATGATTCTATAAAAAACAACATTTATTTGAAAAAAAAAAAAAAAAAACAGTATTTTAAATATATTTTATATTGTATAACCTATTAGACCATGTTCAGCATTAATTTTTTATTAGTCTAATTAACTAGTCACCATCTTAACAAACTCCGCTAAGTACTCTTAACATTTATTTCTATTTATGAATATTTATCCCGTTTTTACCTGAAAATTTTGCTTAGTTGGTCCCCTTCTGTAGTACCACAGAACAGAGCTTTTAAACTATACAGTTCAACAATAATACAGCCTATGGACCAAATATCCACTGGCGTTGCATAGGGTAAACCCAATAACACTTCTGGTGCCCTGTACCATAAAGTAACTACCTAAAACATACAAAAAATATTTAGATTTTAAAGTTTTGACATTGTAATTAACAACAAAATTTAAAACACATTTCAATTAAATTGGATTTTTAATGAATAATTGAAAATTAGACTTACTACAGATGTCAATTTCATGTCAAAGTCATATGTTTTCGCTAACCCAAAATCTGCCAATTTAATATGCCCATCATGAGTCACTAGCAGATTTTGTGGCTTCAAATCTCTGTGGACAACTCTGTTGCTGTGTAGAAAATCAACACCGTTAATTATTTCTTTAGATAAGTTTCTAATATGTATAGCACTGAAACCTTTCGGATTTCTTTCGATGTATGTAGCAAGATCTTGTTCGACATGTTCAAATACCTTAAAAAATAAAAACAATTAGGCGAACAGTACATAAATTGATAATAATAAGTTATATGGTTAAAAAAACTTCCATTTTATATTAAATATAACCAATTTTCATTTGAAAACAGGAAATAATTCTAACTCAAATGTGACCAAAATGTAAAATAAAGAAAAACAATAAAATCTCAAAGCAATGTTACAAAATATTACGGGCGACAGTTTACATCTGGAAAACAACTTCTCCTTTGTCTAATACCAAAACATGTATTGAATTAAATCCAAAGAAAAACAGCAGAGAGAGAAATTGAAAATTAATTTCAACACTCTAGCTTTGATTTTGCTTAATAGGGAGAACGTCATTCTTGGATAGGTTTCCTCCTTATTAGGACTGAAAAGACATTCTCGTTTCCAACATCTAATGTCTAATGGAACCTTTAAATGAATAAAATTCACTCGTATACCTAGATAGTGATATGGACCAGGTAAATACCCAGTGGGTAGGGTAAATAAAAATGGGAATTTACCCAAGGTTCCGAAAAATACCCAAAACTATGGTATAATGAATGCAGCTCGCTATTGGTATACTTCCGAATCTGTTTCTCATGTAGGCTATTGCGAACGCTGCTTTTTATGCGGCTGTTTGTCTTAGAACACAAGTCTTTTTCCTTTATGGTTTATTTTTAAATTGTTCACATTTGAGAATTGGATTTTATTTCCTATATTCATGCCGGTCTGGTTATTATTCCGCCTTGTTCTAAATAACTAGGTACCACAGCGAGCTTTGATTTTGCTTCCTTTGTGCTCATCTAATATATACACACTCCCAACTGCTGTTAATGTGTACAATGAATTTTATAGTACCATCAGACACCATTTCAAGAATCATTTTCTCCTTAGGAAGCAAAATCAAAGTTTGCATGTTGAAAATTATTTTGTCTACACCCACATGGATATTAGCTTATCTATGCATAAGCTATTCTAGGTAGTGAGAACACTGCAAAAAATGAAATCCAATTACAGTTCATATTTTGGACACCCAACTACTATTCATTTTTAAAATTTTAAATACGTGACAATTTTGTCAAACTAATTGTCAGTATATTTTTTAGTTATTGAGATTAAATATACATTAATATGAGTTATTTTTGTATAGAATCGATAATAGCATTTTTATTTGGTCCACATTTTGAAAAAAAAAAAAAAAATTAAAGGAGGGTATGCTTTTGATAGGGAAATTTGGGCGGTCTCTGACAAAAAATTTAAATCGTTTAAATGCTTAGAAACGAGTAATGTCAATAAATTCAATGTGGCAACGTTTCGTTTTAATTATTATAATGACTAATTGTCAGAAGTGACATTTTCTTGTTATTGTTGATAACAAAAAGTGTGAATCGTTTTCTTTTCAATTCGTTTATTATTAGTTAGCATATTTTTTTATTATATCGTTTTCTATTCAATTGGTTTATTATTTAATTAGAATATTTTTTATTGCATCATTCTCTGTTCAATTCGTTTATTATTTAATTAGTTAGAATACCTTTTTATTTTTACATTTTTTTGTATCTATATTCGATAATTTTACATGGCCCCAATAAAGTGTTTTGGGTGCGATGGGTACATCAATAAAAAAAGTACTTTAAAATTTAAAAGCGGCCAACAATGAAACCTACCGGTAGTTTCTACTGAATATTCGAGCACGTAGAGAAATTGCACCCAATGCTATGTTACGTTTCGACGACAAGGTAGAGTAAAGCAATGTTTATAGTAGCAACATAATATCCAACAAGATCCTATTCCCATCATTGAAAATGTGTACAACGACGAGGTAGACATTGAAAATGGTGAAGGGAATGGCGAAAACGTTAGAAATGTGGCGCTCAAACTGCCAAATAACCAAAGATCTTGTTGCGTGTGCGGCGTTATTAGACGGCAGCGTATTTCAAGAGAAGCTGTTCTCAAGTTACGTATAAAACCGGATATTTTGCAACTTGGGGAACCGATCATGCCTGGAACATTTTGAGAATGGTTACTTTTCTGAAGAATCTGTTGCTCTATTGCGATTGTGGGCTGCTCCTAGGCAGCTCTTGAAGAAAAAAGATATTCGATTTTGACAATGGAAATATGGATGACTCAAAGCGCAGTTTGCAACGGTTGTAGGTAACTGCAATAACTTAACACCTAGAAGATAAGTTTTAAAAAAAAATGCGTAGCTATTTTTTTAATAAAACAGAAATGATCCAACTCAAAAAGTTTTAAGCAAGATGTTTGGCATGAAACCGAAGCAACAATATCTTATCAGCAAAAAATAACAATATTTGAGAAGAAAAAATAATGATCCTATTTTAAAAAGTAATAACGTAATGAAAGAATCCTGGAATATAATAAACAAGAGTATGGGAAAAAGAAAAAAACAACTTATTGAATCCTATTAAACTATTTTATTAATGTAAATAAAAATAATATTGTACCTAACTATACTATGAGCATTGATAAACATCATAAAAGTTTTTTTCTTTTTACTCATCACTATAATCAAAAAAACTACTTCTAAACCCACTGAAGGTATTGACGAAATAAATGGTAAAATTCTGTTATCGGTTGCTCATTGTATTGCTGAATCCATATCACATTTGATTAATGAATCCTTTGTTTCGGGATTATTCCCAAATATGAAGGAATCTAAAGGAATTCCTGCTTATAAAAATAAGGGATCTGCATCTAATATAGAAAATTAACCTTTAATCTGTATATCTAGTCAAATAACTAAAATATTTGAGTCAGCATACTTTATTAGACTCACTAATTACCTTGAAAGTTTTAATATGTTGCCAGATACTCAAAATGGATTTAGAAAAAATAAGTCAAAATCTACTGCAATTCTAGCTTGCCTAGAGTTTATATATCAAGCACTCAATGATAAAAAACATATTTTGGGACTCTTCTATGACCTTAGCCGTGCATTTGATATGGTGGATCATAATCTTTTATTATTGAAGATGAATGGGTTAGGAATACGAGGGAAACCTTATGAATGGATACAGTCTTACTTAATAAATCGAACTCAAGTAATTGTAACAAATAGTCTAAAATCTGATCCTCTTCCATGTACAATAGGAGTTCCACAAGGTTCAATTTTGGGCCCACTTCTTTTTATAGTTTTTATAAGTGATATAAGTAATTTTTGTTTAAGCTCTCAACAAATAGTTCAATATGCCGATGATACCAATATTGTAATGGCAGATGATCAAATTGAACAGGTCACTCAAAGTAGCAATGAGGCATCTCTTGAGTTTAACAAGTATTGTAAAGATAACGGTCTGGCATTAAATGTAACAAAACCAAACTTCATGCAATTTCTATCCAAAAACATATTACCAGATTATGAACCCTACTTGCACGTTGACGGAAAAACTATTCAAAGCGTTGATGACATAAAATTTTTAGGAATAATATTAGATCCCAAATTAAATTGGGAAGCTCATATAAAAATGGTAACTTTAAAATTAAGTACTTGTTGTTATATCATCAAAAATTTAATGGAGACACTATCTTTTGATACTTTAAAACTATGCTATTTTGGCTTGGTTCATTCAACTCTACAATATGGGTTAATATTTTGTGGTTCTTCACCATACTTTGAAACAGCTTTTGTATCTCAAAAGAAGGTTCCGAGAGCCATGTATAAGGTGACACCAACAACATCATGTAAAGAACTTTTCAAGAAAACGCAAATTTTAACACTACCTTCCCTTTTTATTTTTCAACTAATTTTATACATAAAAGATAATGAGCATATATTTAAGAAAAATAAAGACCTGCACTCATATGATACTAGATTAAAATTTAACATCCATCAACCTTTTTCACAACTACAAATAAGCCAGCATTCACCAAAATATATTGGGATTAAGTGTTACAATAAGTTCAGTAACATATTAGAAGATACGATTCTTGTAAATAATGTATTTTATAGCACAGAAGATTTTTTAAACTTTTAAACTAATCTTAACATGAATTGTCTATTATACAGTGAGCACCAGTGAGCATCTAACTCGTTACTGGAGTCTTGTTAGGAAAATCGCCGAGACACGTCGTTTTTTGATTTTTACTATGTACATTTTTGTATGAATAGTTTACCCTTAATTTCATCCCTTACTGGAGGGGAGCAACCCTTTCGAAAAATTTAAATGGCATGGGGTGGTGAGTGATAGCTCATTTGAAAGGGGGTTTTATTTTCTATTCAACCGTGCAAAACATTTTATGTATTACGCCGAAACACTGGATACGCACGTAAGCTTTGTTGCCAAAATGTTTATTTTGTCTTCAAAAACTTCGCCATAAAAGAGCTTTTTTGAAGATGTTCCGGAATGGTTTAAATGTTAAAATTTTCGAAAAAGGTTTATTTTTTATATATCTAAGTGTGCAAAATCTTATGGGCGGGAGCATGGGACCCACAAAAGTATACCCTCCTTTTAATCAAACTATATGAAACTAATTTAATTACGAGTATTTAAAGTAAAGTCATAAGTGGCGGTAGAGGCGAAAATCGCGAAAATTTCGGGTTCGAATCTGGATTGAGGACTAATTAAATTGAATCTTTTGTTGCTTATTTTATAAATTGGCGAAATTCATAAATTATTTATTTTGTCTTAATAACCTAAAATATTTTTTTATATTTGTAAATTTTCGGGTCGTAGAAAAAATATACTGTACAACTCGAGTGGATTGTCCATATTTACTCTTGTTGCACGAACCACTATTCTATATCTGCTATTAACCTTCTGATATAATGCAATGCCTGTTGCGGTATTAGCCATAGGAGTAGTTGATTTCAGAAGGAAATGGTCGCTCATGTTTCTGTGACAGGTCTTTGAGTTTTCTCTTTTTCTTTATGGTTTATAGTTTCTTAGAATAATGTGAGTTTTATTTATTACATGTCTTAAGGCCATTGGCTAAAGGTATAATTTATGGAGTAAAATTGGGATAATAAACAGATTAAATTTCAACTTGACAAACTTAACACTTGCTAGTTAAATGAGAGTTTTCTCCAATATAAAAAGAAATCTTTTTTACAAGGTTTTGTTAAGCAATTCAACTATGCCAATGTACTTTTTAAATATACTTAATTAAAATAAAAGGTAAAAAATAAAAATTTATTAAAGGGTTTTTATGAATACCAGGGTATTTATTAATACCAGGGTATTTATGACTTTTGGGTATTTACTTAACTTTTTAAATACCCGGGTATTTAACATCACTATACCCAGTCCCAGATTTACAATAAAAGAGCCCCTCCCTGAACACTTTTTTCCAAGCGTCCCCAACAATTTTTCTATGGATATAAAAAGATTTAAGGTTAAGGTATTATCGTATTATACCTAGACATAAAAGGTAAAAGAAAGAACATAATTTTTATTAAAAATATTGCTCGCAAACGTAACATAGATGTACTGAGTTAGTACTGCATTATAAAAAATACATATCAATAAATTTTATTGAATACAGATCATGGATTTGTTAATTTTCGTACCTTTCCCTACAAATATTAGGATTTTAACATAATATTGACAATATTGCACCATAATTTCTCCTGTAACCTCTGGAAACACTACCTGAAGCATGCTGCTTGTCTTTTGATTTATCGGTTAGGTCTGATTGATTGAGTCAGATTGAGCCGACTCTGGTCATCTAACTTGTCGAAAACAGTCTAAGTAATAATCGGTAATGACCATCAAGCTTTGTTAATAAGGAATTCTACATTAGGCTGAGGTATTAGGCAAATATGTACGCGAAATGTGAAAATTGTACGTGCTATTTTGATGTATTATCTTTGTTTTTAGCAAACAATTTCATTCATCTTATACTTTGTACAAATAAAACTGGAATGAAGATGTATACAGACCCACTTAATCCCCATTTTCAATCAATCAATTTTGTTTTTAGAATCAATAGGCTCTCTTGTAAAGCTTGAGTTTTCCTGAAGATTTTAATTTGATATCGTTTTTTGTTTCAATATTTCAATCTCCCTTATCTTCCCATTTTTATTTATTTATTCACTCCCTTATAGAGCTTTATTTTTACTAAATATTTCATGTTGATATCGCTTTTGGTTTTAATTTCTATTTTTTGTTAATTTCAACCACCCATTCTTTTTTTAAATCAATAGGATTTGTTCCCTTATAGAGCTTGATTTTTGGGAAAAATTTAACGTTGATATTATTGTTCTTTTTAGATTTTTTTTTTAAACATTTTAACCCTGTAAAACCTATTTGTAGTATTAAATTTTTTTCCAAATCAATAGGCTCCGTCTCCTTATAGAGCTTGATTTTTACTAAAAATTTCATGTTGATATCGTTTCTCCTTATTGATTTTTTTTTTATTATTTTAATCCCCCTTTTATTGATTTTTTTTTTTAATGAAAAGAATTTTTCCACTAATAAAGCTTGATTTTTGCTAAAATTTTAAAGTTGATATAATTTTTCGGTTTTGAGTTAGGTTTTTTTTAATATTTTAACTCTCCCTCTCGCTCCCCCTTAAACCCTAATTTATTCAATTTTTTTAGATTTAATAGGCTTCATCTTCTTGCAGAGCTTGATTTTTACTAAAAATGTTATCTTGATATCTCTTTTCGTTTTTGATTTATGATTTTTTTTAATTTCACCTTTAATATGCTTTCTTTTTGAGTTAGAATTTCCCAAGATTTTTTTTTTTTTTTTAATATTTTAACCCTTAACCCTCCCATTTTTACACAGATTTTTTCAAAATCGATATGCTTCGTCCCCTTATAGAGCTTGATTTTTCTGAAATGTTCAAGTTGATATCATTTTTCGTTTTTGATTTATGGTGCAGACAAAAAACGAGACATCGGACGGACGAACAAAGTAAAACTATAATACTTTTTTTTTTTTTAATTATTGTTTCGGCCTTTACTAGATGAAAATCCATTTAATCTTGAAAGAGTAAAACCAAATTTGGTAGATTTTCACTTTGAACTTTGAATTAAAAATAATTTTAATTCAAAGTTAGTAGACAACATTTTAGAGAAAAAACTTTTTAAACAGGCTATTCAACAAGTTTATCCCATAATTAAAGATCAAAATTGCAGATATAAGAGTCTTACATATATAGGAGCTCCTAGTGAAAAGGTATCATCATATTTAAAAAACCAAAATATTAACGTAGCCTTTAAAACCAATAATACGCTTGGGAAGTATATTAAAAACAATAAGGGTAAAATTAATCCTAATAATAAATCGGGGGTATATAAATTAAATTGTGGTAGTTGTCCAAAATTGTATATTGGTCAAACAGGCCGTACTTTCAAAAAACGCTATTCCGAACATTATAAAAGCTATACAAAAAACAAAAATAATTCTACTTACTCAAATCATATTTTAGCTGAAAATCATTCTTTTACAGACAACTTTGAAATTTTACTAAATGATGAATTAGATATTAATAATTCACCTTTATTAAATCTCTTTCCTAGTTTTCTGTGAGACAATCCCGGTAATGTGCTATCTTATTGTTATCTGATTGATATTATAATTATTATACCTAAGTACCCTTATTTACTTTAAATAGTTAGTTTATTTTGTAATGTTATTGATGTTTTTCTTAAGTTATTTGTTTTGTTAAATTATTTCATATATATATTGGATACCGAATTGTAAATAGTCACATTTGAAAAAGAAGTTGTACTTCGAAACATATGTCATGTTAGTGTTTTTAAAAATTTTTATATTTTTAAAATAAAAGTGTGAAAATCTACCAAATTTGGTTTTACTCTTTCAAAACTATAATACTCTTTTCACAGACTACTGCGTGAAAAGTATAATAATATGAACTCATTTAATTATTATTGAAAAAAAAAAAAAGACAATGTAAATTAAATCCAGGTAAAGTTATCTTTTTTTGTTTTCGGTTTCCTCAGGTATCAATTAATACCAAAACGCCGGCGCCCCTTTGGGACTTTTCGCCCCTAGGTAATTGCCTAGTGGTAAAGACTTGAGCTCCATCTATAGTAAGCAAAATAAAGTTCGATTGTAATATCCAGTTCAAAAACAAGGTGGAATAAGAGACAGGCAGTCAATTTTAATTAAAAAGAAATAATTCCAAGCTTAAATGCAACCAAGATGTGAAAAAAAGAAGAAAAAAAAAAGAAAATCTTATATCACAAAATATTATGAGCGAACTTTTCCCTCCGGTAAATAACTACAACCTTAGCTAATACTACAAGAGGCACTGAATTTTATCCAATAGCAGAGGCACCAAACTATTTCAACACTCTTTGATTTTATTTACAAAGGAGAATGTCCAGGATGAAACCAGTCCAAGAATGACGTTCGTTTTAGTAAGCAAAATTAAAGCAATTATTGAACTTTTTTCCAGATTTACATTTTATCCGTATATAATTCAATGCCTATTGTGATATTAGCCAAAGAAGTAGTTTTCTGGAGGGAAATAGTCGCTCATAATATTATTTCATTATTCCATATTCAAATTCTACGCTTATTCCGAAAATTATTCAGTAATTTTTAATCCATTTTGCAAAAAAATATTAAATAAATAAAATAAGGTATATAAAAAGTTTAGGTGAGATTAACATGTAGTATAAAGTTGTTTCAAATGCTAATATTTAGTGCTAAAGATCAGGAAGCTCAAAGTGCAAGCAACGAAAGGAATTGAGCAAATCAAAAATTGGTTAGATGCATCAAAATATTACTAAATATCAATAAAACGAACTATATCATTTTCTAAAACAAAGCTGATAGACCCCAATTTAAAAAAGTAACATGTCAAATACTACATTCAGACCTTCACAAGACAAAAATATCAAAATACGTAGGCATTATAATTGACCAAAATTTAAAATGGGACCCCCACATAACATACAGGGTGTGTCACGCTCAACAGGACGGAGCCTGGTGGGTAAACTACAAACGATAATAAAAATTCCTTTGGCACAAATATACAACTCAACGGCGGCTACAAATTAAAATTAACATATAAAATAATTTATAACAAAGGTTTAATTGTAATTTAACTTTTTTTTGCAATTGTATTTTTAGAAAACAATACTGCCATTACTTTTAGAATCAAATTTAGTTAAGATTCATATGTAAATAAATACTAAATAAGAAAATATTGATTAACATTTACCAGATACATTATGAGTTCCTTTTCCACCTGTTGGCCATGACAGACATCCAACAGTCTCACAATATTGGGGTGGTCCAAGGCATTAAGTTGTCGTAGTAAAGAAATTTCTCTCAAAGTATTCATGGGAATGCCATCCTCTGTAAGGGGTACCCAAACTTTCTTCAGAGCTACATCATTACCAGTTTTTTTATCCTTAGCTCTGTATACAGTCCCATATGCTCCTAAAATAATTGATTATTATTGAAACGTTTTTGTGTAAATATACTGAAGACAAAATTTGTAGGTTCATATTTGTAGTATTTTATTTACTAGAGAAAGTAACAAACCACAAAACTAAACCAAAAGGTAATGAATGGCTAATTTAATATTTTAAAGGGTAGAACAGGGGGTTAAGTGGCTCAGTGGTAGAGTATGGGCTTGCGAATCCAAGGGTCCACGGTTCAAATCCCACCATTAACCGGGATTTTTTTATTTAATTAATTATTTAAAAATAATAATTCTGATGCCTAGGTAGGATTCCCAACTCTAATTAACAGTACTGTTTCTGAAGTGGCGCTAGGAAACAGTAACAAAGCCTACACATAAGACACATTAATGAAAATCAAACACAAACTGATATTGGCATATTAGGTGTGTACACCTAAGCTATAACATGATGAAAAAAAAGGTAGAACATTAATAATAATCATTATGGCATATATTTATGTTTTTTCTTTTATATCAGACATTGATTCACTATTTATTTAGTATATAGTATTTAGTAATTTTGAACCCAGCAATATTATTATTCCTAAATAAAATAAATCTATTTTTTTTTGTTTTAAGTTCTTACAGAAAAAATAAACACATTATTTTATTGTCTTGTTTGTTATCTATTGGCTCAAAGTTATAAACAAAGTTTAGCCATTTCCAAAGTCATCTAACTTTACAGATGATGGCATTCTACTAGCAAATCTTCAGTCTACCTTGAAAAAATTTGCATTTTGCAAACATGGATTATAAAACTGATTTATAACAAAAACCTACATACTCAAGTGATTTGGTTTATAACTATAGTCAAATCCTTGATATAAGGCAACTTTTCTGCCAACGTATACTTATAGCTATCTATAAAAATAAAATAGAAATGTTGGAAATAGACCATATTTATAATACCCGAAGACGAAATCAAAATTTTTAAAGTACCAAAATGTAATAAGAATATTAAACAAGGAAGTATACATTTTATAGGCCCCAAATTATATAATATCTTACCAAATGATTTAAAAAGTATTAACAAATTTTACTCTTTTAAAAATAAAGTCAAACTGTGGATACTAAAAACTGATAGAACTGTATTTAGCAATATAGTTAATAACGATTAAATAAAAAAAAAAAAAAACAAAAAAATATATGCCTATAGATTTTTTATATTGATGTTTCATATTTTTCTTTTTTTATATTATCTTATACCATTATTACCAATATATCACATACAAGCTGAATAGGCCTCGTCCTACACAGCTTCTGTGATTAATCATGTTTATTTATTGTAATTTTTCCTGTTTATATATTTATGTTATATTGATGTAAAACAAACATTATTATTAACATAATGGCGTAAAAAATAGGTATACTAAAAAAATTATAAATTCAAAGTTTTGAAAATTATTTAATAGGTATATCAGTACCTCGGAGATAAACTGTGCTGTGTAATTCTAGTCAACTTTTTAGTAGAGCTGACTGAATGGACACTTTTCGTGTTATATATTTACATATTAGGGGTTATGATTGACAAATAATGTTATTTTTAACAGACACGTTATTTGTGAACAGGTTGTAATTTCTATGTGTTTATAAAATAACAGACCTGTTAAAATTAACAGAGGTTGTCAATCATAACCCCCATAATAATTATATTTCGACAAGAAATGCAGTTAGCCCCAATTATTGTCACAATATGTATTGTTTACTAATAATCAACTATTAAAAAAATATATATATATATATATCTTCCAATGACCTTTAATTTTTTAATGATATATCCTAATAATAGTGGCATTGTTAGTAATGATACTGAAGTTTTAAGTTTGGAGTTAACTTCCGAATATACTTCATTTATGACAAATACCCCGACAATGAACAACAACAAAACAAAATTCATTTCTTTAATTTACAACTTATTTTAATTGTTTTAAAAATTAAAAATTTACTTTTTCTAAGACCACCATAATGCCTCATTAGTTATGCGTTATGCTCAACTTCAAATTTTTTTTTTAATCTTAGGACAAGCTGTGGGAAAAAATCCGCCCCATATTGAACAAGTGCAGAAGGATGTTGATTTCTTATGAGTTTGAAAAAGTTATCTTCACATTATTATAGACTAAGTTTAAAAAAAAAGTTGGTGTTGAGACACTGCACCAGTGGGTCTTGCCTCACGTCTCTGCACTACTGAAAAAAGGGTAATTTTTCATTTATTCCAAAAACTACTAGATAAGTTTTAAAGTATCCCAGTGCCTACAATTCCAAGGATATTGTTTCTTTTCTAAATACACATAAATATATAAAAAAATTTGTATGTTAAACACCTACCTCTTCCAATTCGATTTAAAGCTTCATAAGTGTGACTTCTTTCAAATGCCATATTGTTAAGATAAAGTTAAAAGGAAGGACCAATTTAGAGAAGAAATATAGATGATAGGTATTTTACCCTAAAAAAGAAGGTATAAAGTTCATAATCTAAAAACTAGGCATAATAAAAATATTTAAATTTATATGAATATTTAAGATATTTTAATATTGAAGAAAAACTATACCATGTAGGTGAACACACATGAATACAAAACCTTTTTATTTTTCTATGTACAAAACAAGCGTTAATGTGAACAGTACAAAAAAAATAATTTACCTTAGAAATACATATAATACTACACTACATTTAGTTCTTAAATTAATTAAAGGCCTTCAAAAAAGTTAAATAAAGAAAAACAAAAATGAACACCTTCCTCCTTAAAACAAAACGGTTACATTTACCAAAGCAGGCAACCCATTATGCAACTGTCACCATCTGTCAAACATTTTTTCTTCACATATTGAGTGTTACGTTGGTCTTAGCTTTAACTAGGGTACAGCCACTTCTTCATTGAAGATTTCTTTGATAAGGTATTTTTCGCGGCATAAACGTTCATGTTGGTTTATGCCGCGAAAAATACCTTTATGAATATTCATTTATCTTCAATAATTGTTACATTTCAAGGAGTTGGATCATCTCCGGCCATCGTCATTAAATCTTTACACAGTAACTTGGAGGAAGGATAAAATGTACTAGTTTGTAGTAGTTACTACTGAGAGTTTACCAAAGACAATTTTCTTAAGAAATCTTGCCTCTCCTTTTACACTGTCCCCATTACTTATTTATAGGTACAGATTTCGTTTTAGAAAATAAAACCAGAAATAGGTAATCACAAAAACAAGCTCTTGGTATGAAAGGTTGCTACACTAATCTAAATTTTCTTCGACGTTGAAAAAGTACTGGTAACTTCTTTCTTCCGCATTTTTCAGACCGGCCACAATATCATCTATTGCAACTGGATGTACGTCTTTTTCAGCCGGGAAAACAAACTTAATTTTGTTCTTTCTTCTTACAAAACTTACAATAACCGTTTTCCACTTCTGATGAAATTTTACTGATGACTTTTGCTTTTCCTGCCGCTAAAATGAACTACGACAAATTTTCCATTAGCTATCTCGAACTTCTGCTCGGTTATAATTTTATTTTTTTTTTGTTTTTATGATCAGTCGAAGATGAATATATATCAGAATAACACAATTATCGGCTGTCTTTTAACGCAGCCTGCTCCAATCTCATCAGGGGCACCTTTTCCATGGCTATATCTAGTTTAACTCAATCTGATCCACAGCCAAAGTTTGTGAAATATAAGTAGCAATGAAATAAAACATTTTCTTGTTCTTATATTGCGTCGTCAGGCCATCGATTAGCAAAAATTCAATTGGTCATTTTAAACATTTGGATATTTTATTTGAAAGATTACACTCTTTTGGGTTAACGTTAAACCAAGTAAATGCATTTTTGGAGTTGAAAAAATTAATTTCTTAGGTTTTACTATTTCAGCGGAAGGATTATTTCCTTCAGACGAAAAAATAGAATGTATTAAAAATTTTCCTAAGCCGAATACTCTCAAACAATTACAACGTTTTGTTGGTATGATAAATTTTTATCACAAATTCGTTCCAAAATTCGCCCAAATTTTAGCACCTTTGCACAATTTTATAACATTTTTAGACAAAAATAAAGTTAAAATTATAAAAGATTAGCCAATCGATTATGAAAAGAGTTTTAATGAAGTAAAAGAAGCACTTATTAAAGCATCTTTTCTGGCACATCCTTCAGAGGAATCCATTCTATCACTTACAACAGATGCTAGTAATTTCTGTGTAAGTGGTGTTCTTGAACAAGAAGTAGATGGTGTTAGACAACCCATCGCTTTTTTCTCAAAGAAATTAACCAAATCGCAATTAAACTATAGTGTTTTCGATAAAGAATTATATGCAATCTACCTTTCAATCAAACATTTTAGATATATGTTAGAATCAAAAGATTTTAAAGTTTTTTGTGATCATAAACCAATTGAAAAAGCAATTTTCTCCAAAACAGATAGATCTCCTAGACAATTCAGATATATAGAATATATTTTACAATTTACTAATAAAGTTTTTTACGTAGGTAGCAAAAACGTAATAGTCGCAGATTTCTTAAGTAGAATGGAATTAGATTTTATTTCAGTAGAAAAAATAGAATCGGAATTAGATTTAAAAATAATAGGAGACGAACAAAAATTAGATTTAGAATTAAAAGGTTTATTAGAGTCACAAAATCAAAATAATAATAAAAACAAATTTCATTTAAAAAAAGTTCAAGTTAATTTCCCACCAGCAGATATAATATGGTGTGAAAATACTAATAATACTTTAAAACCTTACATTCCCAAGTCATAATATTTTTATTAAGGTACATAACGTGGCGCACACAGGAGGTAAGAGCACTTTAAAATTGATAAAAAATAGATATTTTTGGCCAAGAATGAGCAAAGATATACACTTATGGTCAAAATCTTGCATAAATTGTCAAAAGGCAAAAATTTCTAAATATACAAAATCACCAACAGGTGAATTTTCAATCCCAAAAGGTAGGTTCCAACACATCCATATAGATATTGTTGGACCCCTTAAACCTTCAGGAGGTTGCTCCTACCTATTAACACTTATAGACAGATATACGAGATGGGTAGAAGTTTATCCTTTAGCAACAATTACTACAGAAGTAATTATAAAAACATTAATTAATAATTATATAGCTCGTTTTGGTGTACATTATAGCGTCACACACGACCAAGGTAGCCAATTCGAGTCACATTTATTTAAAGAATTTAGCCGAAAATTAGGTTTTAAAAATTTACACACTACTAGTTATCATCCAGAATCAAACGGAATGATAGAACGATTCCATAGAACATTAAAAGCATCTCTTATGGCCAAACTGCATAATAATAATTGGAAAGATGAACTACCATTGATTTTATTAGGTTTGAGAAGTGCAGTAAAGGAAGATTTGAATTGTTCTTCCGCTGAACTAGTCTATGGACAATCCTTAAGATTACCAGGAGATTTTTTTGTAGACAGTAGTGAAAGTTTTGATACTGATTCATTCTTAATTAAATTACAAGAACATTTTGATAATATAAAACCCACTAAAATATATAGACACGGTACAAAGAAATTTTTCATTTCACCAGATTTGATGAAAAATTATTTCGTTTTTGTTAAAGTTCAAGGTATCAAACCTTCATTAACTCCTCCTTTTGAAGGACCGTACAAAGTCATTAGTAGAAATGATAAAGTTTTTAAGATTTTAATTAATGGCAAAGAATCATTAATTAACATAGATAGGTTGAAGCCAGCCTTTTTATTAACAGAACAAGATGTTCAAAATGTTTTTTCAAAACCGAAGAAAAAGGTTTCTTTTGTTTTAAACCCAATAAGTTATAACTAAACCATTATTATTAGGTTTGTTCCAACAGCGAATCTGATCATCAGAAGGACGTCAGACGCATGCGCATTGAAAATAGTCCGTTCCTACAAAGCCACGGATAATCCGATGAACTGTCAGTAAAACGTTCCAACGTATTTTCTGATTCGTACATGAATGAGTCAACGGATTTTCAAAACGATCAGAGCTTCATCACTTGTACAATTTATCAGCACATGCGCATTTGAACGTCTCTTCTCGTTCGTGATATTTTTTTGTAATTGTTGGGATTTTAAGTTAGCTTGGAGTGACTTGGGTTTCTATTGCTTTTAGTTGAAATGAATAATTTTTGTTTTTATTCTGTGGGCGGATTTTTTATGTATAATGCGTACTTATTTTTAATAAAAATAAACAATCTTAATGTTTCAAAATTATACATTAACATAGAGCGTTCGAGACAGCTAAATAAATGTATGTTGTTGTATTTTAAATAATTTTAAAATACCAATTGACCAAACATATGTTTGGTTTGTCAAATTCCATTGCATTTTGCGTTCCAACAAGGACAAGTCGCTGATTAAACAACGGACGAATAAACGGACTGACATGCGCAGTGATTAGTTTACGAATGCATCCATGCACGAGTCAGAGACACATCAGAAAGGCTCTGTTGGAACAAACCTATTATGTGGGTGGTTTCTTTTTCTTTTTTTGAGCGGGGAGGTTATGTGGCGACATCATAGCACCACATAGTCTTACCTTTAGTTTGACGTTTACGTCAATTTATTTAAAGGTTTCTTAGCATTGATCTGGCAACGTAAGGATACGTCATATGTAAATATTTTTGATATACAAAATTGGGACCGGTAGGCGTGGCTTTTGCACTCACTAAAATGGCGGAAGAGCAGAACCGTATTTACAAGTTTTTATTGTACTATTTCTGGTTAAGTATCATTATTTGAACTATAAAAAATTAATTTCCTTTATTATACACATTGACTTAAAAGGTGGTGGAAGGCCAAGGTTACAAAAGAAGGGGGTCTAAAGATTTAAATATACCCGGTTTTCAGCCGAGAGGTGCTGAATAAAGTAAATGAAAGAAATAAAATATAAATGATTTAATTATCACTCAAGTGTGACTATTAAGTGCTGGAGAATATATTATTTGCAAAATTGCAACTAATCAATGATCATGATATAGCTAACTTGGGGCCGATTCCACCATTTTAATCTTCAATTAGTTTGTTTAAACTTTAACACAATGGTGAAAATAATCCTAAAGCGTTAAAATCATTCACAGAAAAAATAAATAGCATTTTGGTTCACATAAGCGAAAAAAATAAAGCGAATTCGATTTATTGGATCAGTCGTAACACTTTTTCATTAGGGCACAAACGTAGCACAGAACACTTACTCTATAAGTAGCCCAATGCTTTCTGTTTCTATCTTTAAATCGGAAAGTAACCTTACTTTAATTAACAGCTTCCTCGAAATTAAGAACAAATGTTCATACACTAAAAGTTCGATAATCCGATACGAAACTTAATGCAAGGCTCGAGTAAAATGGCTAATAAACAATCTCTGTGTAGGTAGATGCACTATTCAGGAAATCAAAATGTGGATTAATTTTACTTGGTCTTGGTACTCTTGTAGATTCAGACTGAAAGATGTGTATCTTCATGCAAGACATTCCGTAAATCAGCGAAGCCACAACCAGCGATGTGCAGGTAGGTACAGGTGCACTTCTAACAAATGTAAAATATGAAGTGATCTTACTTGAGACTTATAGATCCAGTGAGGATAATATGGTGGTTGGTTTGAGCTGGGCTTCTCACCATCTGCAGAGATTATGACTACTTATGTAAAGGCCTACCATAGTAACAACATCACCACAAGAGTGTCTGTCCAATTTAATTGGTCTATGCACAATAATCATGCATGTATGATTGAAAGTCAGACAAAGAATGTGAAGATAAAGTTAAAGTCTCAATCATAGTTAAAGTCACAGATGAAGTTAAAAGTAAGAGTTGAAATTGTAGGCTGGTGATAAAGGGAGGCCAACATCTAGGTAATAAATGTTTGTCGAGTTAGGAAAAGTATCATCTGCTGTAAGCGCTTTTCTTAACAACTAAGGTAAAAACCAGAATATTTCATACTACACAATTTCTTCGCTAGGCAAAATAAGAAATAAATTTGTGAGAGTACTTCCCAAGTGTTTTTCAAAAGCTCTAAGAACAAAATTGATGAAAATGGCCTAAGCCAAGTTCAAATTCTAAAACTTGAATATTAAAGATAAGTAACTTACTGTAAAATAAGTAAAACCTCATTGTTGATTAAATGGTTGAATAATTCATTACCTGGAGGTAGAATAGTGACCAAAGTTTAACAGAAAAAGCCACTAGAAAAGGTGAACAAAACAGAATGGGGCATATAAAAGTCAAGCAAATATTGTAAATGCAAATAATGTGTGCTGTGATTAAATAAAAGTGTACAAAGAATAAAGTTTTAATATTTTCTTATCCATATCTATGAGTGATATCTGAAACACATTATAGGCAATTAAAAAGATCTATTAATATTGTTCTAAATTAACTATAATAAAACAAACAATACTCATGCATACACAAAACATGAAGCTCTACTTTTCAATCAGCTGTAGAACTAATATAAATAAAACTGGTGGAAGCAGCAAATGTAGGTTATATTTAAATAGAAATAAGAAAATAAAATGCCTATAAATTTGATAAACG